GCTCAAAGTTGACTCAGCCTTCCGTCCTTCCGAGGCCGTTAAAATGAGGACCCAGATTGTTGGGAGGCAAGAGGCTGACTCTGTAAACCACTTAGAGGGGGCTGGAAAGCACTATAAAGCGGTCTATAAGTCTAAGCACTATCGTTGTCCAACGTTCTGTCTCTATGGAGAATCGGGAATCTGCCCTTGACACCATTGGACAGAGACGAAACCCGAACATCTTACATTTTGCAAGCTGTGGAAAGTGCCTGGGACAAAACAGGCAGAAGGAGAAAAACGGTCCAAGGCCCACCTGTCTATGAAACCGCAACCGGGGCCGTTACAGTCCCCAGTGCCTCAGAACAAACGGAACCCTTTGAGGAACAGGATCACCTGGAGGTGAGTGTTTGGAGCACAGCCGCAGCCTGCAGCCAAGATGGCAGCTTTGTGGCTGATTTAGGCTCTTCTTAGAGGTGGGATGCTGCCGGTTTGGACCGGTTAAGCTGTGACGATCAGCTGCCCCCGCCCAGTCCTACATGTCCGCCTTTTTCGGCTCAGCAGATTCGTGCGGCACAGTGGAGGGCCTCTCAGTTGGACTCTTTCATCCTCTTGGTGTATGTTAACATGGCTTATTGATTTGATCTGTCTAGTGTGCTGGAGCAGCTGCAGCTCCCGTAGCTCCCGTCTCTGGAGTAGAGCTGGATTCCCTGATCTCTCAGGTGAAGGATCTGCTCCCTGACCTTGGAGAAGGCTTTGTCCTGGCCTGCTTGGAGGAGTACAACTACAACGTGGAGCATGTCATCAACAACCTTCTAGAGGACAAGTTGGGGGCCTCCGTACAGATGCTTGACAGAACCATGCCTAGGTAAAGTTGGAAGGAGATTATATTGAGATGTATGTGTGTGTGTGTGTGTGTGTGTGTGTATGGATCTTTGGTTATTCGGGTTTTCTCACACGTAAGATTGGAAGTATCTAGGCAACGTTTCGATGAAGTCTCATTCATCATCTTCAGGCTTGTGTCTTCAGTTCTGTGCTTCTCAGAGAAGCACAGAGCTACAACTCTGAGAAGCACAGAGCTGAAGACACAAGCCTGAAGATAATGAATGAGACTTCATCGAAACGTTGCCTAGATACTTCCAATCTTACGCGGGAGAAAACCCGAATAACCAAAGATCCACATACAAATACCCACGAGAACCTCAGAAAACATACATACATACATACATACATACATACATACATACATACATATATACACACACACACACACATACATACACATACATACATACACACACACACATATAATTTCTTTTAAGCTTTTGCTGGTATTTATATGTATGGTATTCAGCTTTGTTCGGGTATTTTCCCACGTCATTATAGTTGTGCTTTTAAAGTTGTAGCAACATTTCGGCAGAATCTCATCTGCCATCATCAGGCTTCTGTATAGTGTTCGTCTATAGTGTAAGATTAAGAGTATCTTGGTGACGTTTGAGCGAGGTCCCACTCGCCATCCTCAGGCTGGTGCTTTCGGCTTCGTGCCAGTGCAAGCAGTGTGTGATCGGAGCTGCCGTCTCTCTGTAAATACTGGTGGTGTGGGCTGGTGTGCTGGGCATCTATGAAAACACACATACATACATATATATATATATATATATATATATATAAATAATTCAGGGATGTGAATCTCTTTTTTTTTTTATAAAAGTTTTATTGATTTTAACAACAAATAAAAATACATAAAACATAAAACATAACATAAGAACATCGTCATTCTTCATAAATTTACAGACAGTGTATCGGTTGGTTTATCACTCCTTTTTGTGCATCTATTTCATAGTCATCATAATAATTATGTTACATAATAACTCATATTATCAATCAACAATTATATATCCTAATATCCTTATTAAACAATCATTTGACTATAATTTAACTAATTCATGCTTAAGCGAGATAACTATAATTTAGTTAATTTATAACAAATCGTAAAATCATACCAAATCTATCTTAATATAATATTCTAAAAATATTATCAAAACCAATATATATATATATTCTATTATTATATTGTTTTATTTTATGTGAATCTCTTTTGAGTAGTATGGAGATGTCCTTTATCTCTGTATGCCTGTTGATGGCCAATTTGTTAGAATGCCAGGCCTTCAAGGAATTCTCTGAAGGTTTTGGACTTGGTTTGATTTAAGATGATCACAGTTTCCCAGTTGAAAACTACAGTTGATGCGTTGTGAAATTAAAGGAGTTTCCATCATGTCTTCTGATTAGTAGTTGTGTTCATCAACAGGCCCTTTATTTCACACCTGTAGACAGAATCTTGCCAGAAAGAGGATTCTATTCTCTGCATCTACAGTATACATTGGGAACTCTTAGGGAGGAGCTGCCCTCACCCTCTTTCTCTCACACATAATATCCAGATTGAGTTGTCTCTTCCTCCTCTGGAACACACCCCTTCCCTCCTAGGACCCACCTCCTTAATACATGCCATCCTATCCTGTGTGGACTTCAATTCCCGGGATTCCTCAGTCACCATATCTCAGGTCCCAAGCCAAGAATGACACAGGGTGATTCTTCCAAGCCGAGTTCCTTATCATTCACACCGGTAGACAGAATCTTGCCAGACTTGACGACTCTTCTCTCTATATCCACAATATATACTCCGGAAACTGTTAAGGAGGAACCTTCTTCATCCCCTTTCTCTCACACCTGATATCTCAGCTGAGTTGCCTCATCCCCGCTTCCTCCTGGGGGATCCACCACCTCATGACACTCCTGCCCAAAAACGGGGGCGTGTTTCCCGAAAGATTTGTGTCTTGCATTTCCGGAAATGAAGACTTTCATTGCTGCTGTTCTTTTAAGAAAAAATAAATAAATAAAATAAACAACTGTTCCTGCCAGGCCTGTGAAACCAGACCTGACTCCGCTTGTCACTTCTCGGTGCAACGTTTTCCAAGATGACGAGTTTGATGTTTTCAGCAAGGATCTGGTGGACGTCTCTCGGATTCAGAAAGGCAAACGGTGAGTTTGCGCTGTTCCCCCTCCAATCCAGGGTTCCTCCCCCGTAGCAGCTTTAAAGGTGTGGGAAGTTCAACTGCCAGAACCCCGAGTTCATCCCCAACTAGGTAACGTCATCAGGGAAAAGGGAAAACTCCCACTCCCTCCTAGCACTGATAATGTTACGTAGTTGGGTAATGAGAAGTCTTCAAGAAAACTACCAAGCTCAGAGAGTGCCCTCCTCCTCCTTCTCCTTTCCCACTGCCTTCTAGCACTGATGATG